ACAAACCACACCAACCACCAAAACCCGATTCCTTCTAAAGATTAACAGTATAACATACCACACCAACTACCAATACCCGACTCATTCTTAAGATTAACAGTATAACATACCACACCAACCACCAATATTCGACCCATTCTTAAGATTAACAGTATAACATACCACACTAAGATTAACAGTGTAACATACCACACCAACCACCAATATCCGAACCATCCTAAAGATTAACAGTATAACAGACCACACCAACCATCAATTCCCGACTCACCCTAATGATTGACAGTAGAACAGACCACATCACCCTACAATACCCGACTCATCTTAACTAGCTTGATGTCTTCAGTTATTGTTGATGAAGTCTGTCTTACCAGCTTGATGCGTTCAGTCATGTCGGTGTAACCAGCTTAATGTGTTAATTCAAGTCTGTGTATCCAGCTTGATGTCTTCAGTTATTGATGTTGAAGTCTGTGTTACCAGCTAGATGTCTTCAGTTTTTGTTGTTGAAGTCTGTGTTACCAGCTAGATGTCTTCAGTTATTGTTGTTGAAGTCTGCGTTACCAGCTAGATGTCTTCAGTTATTGTTGTTGAAGTCTGCGTTACTAGCTAGATGTCTTCAGTTATTGTTGTTGAAGTCTGCGTTACCAGCTAGACGTCTTCAGTTATTGTTGTTGAAGTCTGTGTTACCAGCTTGATGTCTTCAGTTATTGATGTTTGAGTCTGTGTTACCAGTTAGTTGTCTTCAGTGATTTAAGTCTGTGTTACCAGCTAGACGTCTTCAGTTATTGTTGTTGAAGTCTGTGTTACTAGCTAGATCTCTTCAGTTATTGTTGTTGAAGGCTGTGCAACCAGCTAGATGTCTTCAGTTATTGTTGTTGAATATAAAAAAGAAGATGTTGTACCGATATGATTGCCAATGAGACAACTCCCCACAAGAGACCAAATGACACAGAAATTAACAACTATAGGTCACCGTACGGCCTGTAACAATGAGCAAAGCCCATACCGCACAGTCAGCTATAAAAAGGCCCCGAAATGACAATTTAAAACAATTTAAACGAGAAAACTAACGGCCTAATTTATGTACAAAAAATGAACGAAAAACGAATATGTAGCACATAAACAAACGACAACCACTGAATTACAGTTTCCTGACTTGAGACAGGCACATACATACAGAATGTGGCGGGGTTAAACATGTTAGCGGGATCCCAACCCTCCCCCTAACCTGGGACAGTGGTGTAACAGTACAACATAAGAACGAACTAAAAAAATCAGTTGAAAGAGGCTTAACTCATCAGATGGATAAAAATACAAATAATACAAATACAAGTGAACGTGTCCGGGTACTTGTACATCCAAACAACAAAAAGACACTAAGTACAGATCTGAGAGTACTCGCAGTTACTGACAGCTAGTTCAAAGCCACTAACAACTAATCAAAAAAAACATGCATCTAAGACTAAATTATTAATCCGTACACATCCAACATCCAATGGATTTAGTGTAAAGACGTCATAAACAGTCAGAGAAAAACATGACCTTGTGCAATGCAAAGATACAGGTATCGACAGATTGTAGATCCATGAATGTGTATATGTATATAACAATAATATTTAGTTTGCTTTTAATTTACTGATAACAAAATCAATATCAGTACCAATAAAAACAATATTTAACGATATAATAACAGTGTTGAATTGGTAACCTTTTAGAATAAGTTTATTTAAAGGATCGATAACTTTACCAGGATCGTCTGTGTTACTAGCTAGATGTCTTCAGTTATTGATGTTGAAGTCTGTGTAACCAGCTAGACGTCTTCAGTTATTGTTGTTGAAGTCTGTGTTACCAGCTAGATGTCTTCAGTCATTGATGTTGAAGTCTGTGTTACCAGCTAGATGTCTTCAGTTATTGTTGTTGAAGTCTGCGTTACCAGCTAGATGTCTTCAGTCATTGATGTTGAAGTCTGCGTTACCAGCTAGATGTCTTCAGTTATTGTTGTTGAAGTCTGCGTTACCAGCTAGATGTCTTCATTTATTGATGTTGAAGTCTGTGTAACCAGCTAGACGTCTTCAGTTATTGATGTTGAAGTCTGTGTTACCAGCTAGACGTCTTCAGTTATTGTTGTTGAAGTCTGTGTTACTAGCTAGATGTCTTCAGTTATTGATGTTGAAGTCTGTGTAACCAGCTAGATGTCTTCAGTTATTGTTGTTGAAGTCTGCGTTACTAGCTAGATGTCTTCAGTTATTGATGTTGAAGTCTGTGTTACCAGCTAGATGTCTTCAGTTATTGTTGTTGAAGGCTGTGTAACCAGCTAGATGTCTTCAGTTATTGATGTCTTCAGTTATTGATGTTGAAGTCTGTGTTACCAGCTAGACGTCTTCAGTTATTGTTGTTGAAGTCTGCGTTACTAGCTAGATGTCTTCAGTTATTGATGTTGAAGTCTGTGTTACCAGCTAGACGTCTTCAGTTATTGTTGTTGAAGTCTGTGTTACTAGCTAGATGTCTTCAGTTATTGATGTTGAAGTCTGTGTAACCAGCTAGATGTCTTCAGTTATTGATGTTGAAGTCTGCGTTACTAGCTAGATGTCTTCAGTTATTGATGTTGAAGTCTGTGTTACCAGCTAGACGTCTTCAGTTATTGTTGTTGAAGTCTGTGTTACTAGCTAGATGTCTTCAGTTATTGATGTTGAAGTCTGTGTAACCAGCTAGATGTCTTCAGTTATTGATGTTGAAGTCAGCGTTACTAGCTAGATGTCTTCAGTTATTGATGTTGAAGTCTGCGTTACCAGCTAGATGTCTTCAGTTATTGTTGTTGAAGTCTGTGTTACTAGCTAGATGTCTTCAGTTATTGATGTTGAAGTCTGTGTAACCAGCTAGACGTCTTCAGTTATTGTTGTTGAAGTCTGCGTTACTAGCTAGATGTCTTCAGTTATTGATGTTGAAGTCTGTGTTACCAGCTAGATGTCTTCAGTTATTGTTGTTGAAGTCTGTGTAACCAGCTAGATCTCTTCAGTTATTGATGTTTGAGTCTGCGTTACTAGCTAGATGTCTTCAGTTATTGTTGTTGAAGTCTGCGTTACCAGCTAAATGTCTTCAGTTATTGTTGTTGAAGTCTGCGTTACCAGCTAGATGTCTTCAGTTATTGTTGTTGAAGTCTGCGTTACTAGCTAGATGTCTTCAGTTATTGTTGTTGAAGTCTGCGTTACTAGCTAGATGTCTTCAGTTATTGTTGTTGAAGTCTGCGTTACTAGCTAGATGTCTTCAGTTATTGTTGTTGAAGTCTGCGATACTAGCTAGATGTCTTCAGTTATTGTTGTTGAAGTCTGCGTTACCGGCTAGATGTCTTCAGTTATTGTTGTTGAAGTCTGCGTTACCAGCTAGATGTCTTCAGTTATTGTTGTTGAAGTCTGCGTTACCAGCTAGATGTCTTCAGTTATTGATGTTTGAGTCTGCGTTACTAGCTAGATGTCTTCAGTTATTGATGTTTGAGTCTGCGTTACTAGCTAGATGTCTTCAGTTATTGTTGTTGAAGTCTGCGTTACCAGCTAGATGTCTTCAGTTATTGTTGTTGAAGTCTGTGTTACCAGCTAGATGTCTTCAGTTATTGATGTTTGAGTCTGCGTTACTAGCTAGATGTCTTCAGTTATTGTTGTTGAAGTCTGCGTTACTAGCTAGATGTCTTCAGTTATTGTTGTTGAAGTCTGTGTTACCAGCTAGACGTCTTCAGTTATTGTTGTTGAAGTCTGCGTTACTAGCTAGATGTCTTCAGTTATTGATGTTGAAGTCTGTGTTACCAGCTAGACGTCTTCAGTTATTGTTGTTGAAGTCTGCGTTACTAGCTAGATGTCTTCAGTTATTGTTGTTGAGGTCTGCGTTACCAGCTAGATGTCTTCAGTTATTGTTGTTGAAGTCTGCGTTACTAGCTAGATGTCTTCAGTTATTGTTGTTGAAGTCTGCGTTACTAGCTAGATGTCTTCAGTTATTGTTGTTGAAGTCTGCGTTACCAGCTAGATGTCTTCAGTTATTGTTGTTGAAGTCTGCGTTACCAGCTAGATTTCTTCAGTTATTGTTGTTAAAGTCTGCGTTACTAGCTAGATGTCTTCAGTTATTGTTGTTGAAGTCTGCGTTACCAGCTAGACGTCTTCAGTTATTGTTGTTGAAGTCTGCGTTACTAGCTAGATGTCTTCAGTTATTGTTGTTGAAGTCTGCGTTACTAGCTAGATGTTTTCAGTTATTGTTGTTGAAGTCTGCGTTACTAGCTAGATGTCTTCAGTTATTGATGTTTGAGTCTTCGTTACTAGCTAGATGTCTTCAGTTATTGTTGTTGAAGTCTGCGTTACCAGCTAGATGTCTTCAGTTATTGTTGTTGAAGTCTGCGTTACCAGCTAGATGTCTTCAGTTATTGTTGTTGAAGTTAGTGTTACCAGCTAGATGTCTTCAGTTATTTTGTCTTTGGGTTTCTGTCTCACTAACGTAAACCATGGTCTTAGATATGTGTTTCTTTCATTGACGTTAACCCTGATCTTAGATATGTGTTTCTCTCATTGACGTTAACACTGATCTTAGATGTGTGTTTTTCTCATTGACGTAAACCCTGATCTTAGATATGTGTTTCTCTCATTGACGTAAACCCTGATCTTAGATATGTGTTTCTCTCATTGACGTAAACCCTGATCTTAGATATGTGTTTCTCTCATTGACGTTAACATTGATCTTAGATATGTGTTTCTCTCATTGACGTAAACCCTGATCTTAGATATGTGTTTCTCTCATTGACGTTAACATTGATCTTAGATATGTGTTTCTCTCATTGACGTAAACCCTGAATTTAGATATGTGTTTATATCTCATTGACGTAATCCCTGATCCTAGATATGTGTTGATTAGATATAAATTTGGACACTGAGTCTCGAGTTTAAGCTGAACTCAGGATATAAACAATTACACACTTTTGAGCGAATTATACAATTCGATGAAGTCAAATACATAAAAAATGTACGTTGTTTTCAACATTTATTTCTAGACATATAAACAAATAAATAACAATTTATAATGATGCCGAAACAGAAATCTTGAATAAATGGAATATAAACCTCAAGCATGAATCGATATTTTGTAATAAAATTAAATAAATGTATTGTGCATATCAACCTTTTGTAATAATGCTGAATTGTAATAATGCTGAAATAGAAGTAATGAAAATCAACGATTTGTTATAATGCTGACACGGGAGAATTCTGTAAATCGTCGAGTTGCCATAATGATTTCAACACAATTATTATATAAATAAATATTTGTAATAATGCTGAATTGCAATAATGCTTAAACAGAGGTATCTTATAAATCAAAGATTCGTTATAATGCTGAAACAGTTCTGTTGTGTCAATCAACAATTTGTTAATATGGCGACGTGTTATATTTGTTGACAGAGAATTAGTGTGTAAATCAATGATTTGTTATGATATTGATACTGAAATGTTGGATAGATTGACAATTTGTATTAAAACAATTAGCAGGAACAAAAATCAACAATGTGTAAAAATCTGAAATGTAATAATGTTTAAGGTAGATGGGGGGTCTAAATTAAAATCCATAGAATTCTTTAATAACTTGTCAAAATGTATTTTATACCATGCTTTTTCAAAACTCTTAAAAAGTATGGGTCACTGGGATTTTGTTCACGCTACAGGTTGTGCAAAATTGTCAGATTTTGTATAGTTTATGCATGGAAAACCCAATTTTGTGTGATAAAAAGAAAACTATACAATAATAGAATTTTAAGACAAAATATGAGAAGATAGCTCTAATAATATACTTTCAGGTTAGAAAAAGAAAAAAAAAAAAAATGGGGTCACCGGACTCGTTTTCTTGCATCATGATAAAATAGGTAAATTCACACCTCATTCTATTATAAAAGTAACTTTATCTGAGTTATCGCCCCTTATGTGGCAAAGTTCAAAAAAATAAATAAATCAAACAAAAATATTCTGTTTTTTGTGAAATACATCCATAAATATGATAAAACACATAAGTTTCTATATCAACACGAAAAGTCTTACACATGAATTACATACTACTCTCGAAATTTGCACATTTTATTTAAAAAGATATAGATCGATCGTTAGCTGCTATTTCAAAATTCAAGATGGAGAAAGACACCCCAGCTACATCAAACAGAAATATCATATAGATCAAAGATTTACAATATAATAGTTGCTTAAACAGGAATGTTGTGTAAATTGGATATTTACTAATGCTTAAACATTGATTGATTGATTGTTGCTTGCTTAACGTCCAGTGGCAATTATTTCATGCATATTCAGGACGAACGGTTTAACATAAATTTTGAATAATGCTGAATTGCAATATTGCTGATACTGAAGTATTGTATGAACCAAATATTTGTAATAATGCTTAAACAGGGGTGTCTTATTGACCAGCGATTTGTAATAATGCTTAAACGGGGATGTTTTATTGATCAGCGATTTGTTATAATGCTTAAACAGGGGTGTTTTATTGATCAACAATTAGTAATAATGCTAAAACAGGGGTGTTTTATTGATCAGCGATTTGTAATAATGCTTGAACAGGGTTGTTTTATTGATAAGTGATTTCTAATATTGCTTAAACAGGGGTGTTTTATTGATCAGCGAATTGTAATAATGACTAAACAGGGGTGTTTCATTGATCAACGATTTGTAATAATGGTTAAATAGAAGAAGAAATCATTATGCTACATATTCATCTTTACGGTTCTATAACATTGCTCATTGTTCTCCATGTTTAACAAAAGTTATAAACTTATATAATAGTTCACAAAAACCAACAAAACATAAATTGTACATGATTTTTCTGCATTAAATGCAGTACAGTTGACTAACAACCAAAACAACCATGCTTAATGTTCCAATACAAATATTAAATAAACGGTTTCCATAAATAGTTGCTATATTAATATACTATAAAAGTCACATTAAATGCACGACGTCCTCTGAAATTCAACTGACTAGTCACATTAAATGCATGACGTCCACTGAAATCCAACTGACCATATACTTTGAAACAATAAATTACATTTTGTTATAAAATCATTAAAAAATTATGTCAAATTTTCTTCAGATAAAGATAAATTAAAGAGAAATAAATCTGTTACAAGTGAAAGACAGAGAAAAAATATCATCTCCTGGACAAGTAATGGAAACATTGTAAAACTTGAGAAAAACGCATTATTATGGACTCCACAGTTTCGACACAAACAACCAGTTTATATTTACCTGCAAAAAGAATGAAGAAGATGCCATGGTGTTTATCCAAATTAAACGTCGAATAAAAACAGACAAAACCAGGATCACCAAGAAAAATATCGATACAAAAAACAAGCCCACAAAACACTTGACAGAAAACAAAAGATTGAGACGATGAAATCCAGTAAAACAAAAATAGGATCGACCTGTAGTACCTGAAAGGGAAACAGTTCCTGCTCTACTTGTGGCACTCGCCATGATGCTAATCATAAACAAACTAGGATTGACCTGAAGTACCTGAAAGGGAAAGCAGTTTTTGCTCTATTTGCGGCACTCGCCATGCTGCTCATCATAAACAAACTAGGATTGACCTGAAGTACCCTGAAAGGGAAAGCAGTTCTTCCACTTTTTGTGGCACTCGCCATGCTGCTCATCATAAGCTAACGTTCGGTGATTAGTCACATTAATGTCGACAAAAAGAGGTCGGGGTTTGTGATACTCCTTTTATGGAAAAAAAAGTTTCTTTATAATATTTGTTCCAAATGGAAGAAATATTTTTCAATATTACTTTACACTGGAAGATAATATAGTTAGTGGATTTTCTTCTAACGGAATAAAGGGTATAGAATATTACATATATAATAGAATTATATATTGAAGCATTATTTATAACAACGTTTACAAAGGAACTTCTGCTTGAAGAAACAAATATAAGCTGAACTTCCTGCCAAGGTTAGGCTAAAAAAATATCCCTTTACATGCACACATGACGGAAATATTTAATATGAGTATTGTCAGAGTTGACTTTCTGGGTTAGATGAACTGTCGTTTGACTGCTATGTTTGGACTTAACCAAAAGCACAGCTTGCGGACAGAGGGGGATGAGCAAGGGCCTTAAACATTTATAACAAACACAGTGAAATGGGTTTTACGATCTTCTTTCTTCAAAGCGCAAATGAAAGTCATATTCAATTAATAACAATATAATAGTATATAATGCAAATAATAGAAACATAAAATTCATTTAATTTTCCAACATAAATGATCAATTGATATTTTGAGTATTTAACTAAACAAACTTTACGTAAATGCATGAGCATATGCATTTAAACTGACGAACAAGTATGCTTATAATATTTCTAATAAATAAAAGCTTATTTAGCATTCAAATATATGAGCAAGATGAGTACTAAATTTTAAACGTATGAGCATAATGCGTGACCTAGTATTTGAACCTAAGAGAGCATAAAGCATGACTGTGCTGAACAGCATAAATATCTTAACAATGAACATGTATGCTTATGATTTTTCTAATAAATAACAGCATCCAAATATGTGAGGAAAATGCGAGCTAAATTTTAAATGTATGAGCATAAAGCGTGACCTAGTATTTGAACCTATATGAGCATAGCGCATATGCTAAACAGCATCAGCATGTTGAAATCTTTTATCTTTTGAATGATAAACATGGTAGAGCAAATATTGTGCTTGTGAAAATTTAAACTATATAAAACCTATTAACCCAAAAATAATCAAATCAGACAATGAGCATTGGTTGACAAATAGTTTCTGTAATTCTGTTTAAAAGGAGAAATACTTTTGTAGGTGAATTATAGGAATAACCGAAATGGAGAAAAACCTAACTCTACGAAACTAAACGCGATTATCCAAATATTGTGAATATGAAATAGTATCATGTAAAATGGGGAAACTAGCTTTAAAAACATACATGATCGCTTTTATCAAAAATTCATGACTCGTTATGATGATATAGGGCTAAACGACAAGACTAGGTTACGATAAATAATTACTTATTAATTTAACCTACACATTTGGAAATTACGCATACAGCGTTTCTTAAATAATCAACATCTTACCCTTGCGGAACTGACCTTAATTCTTATTAAGTATGAACAAGCGATAAGTTAAATTATCATTTCAAACATGCAAGCGTAAAACAAATTTTTATAACGCGTTTAAAAATACCCTTGCGTACATTCGTGTTTTAAAACACATACTTACATCTATTTACACTTATTGAGAAACAACATTTGATCTGAAATTCTTTACCTGCAGAACTCATATATATTTTACTTTAACTTTACTGAATAAAAAGGGAAATGAAACTTTATAAAGTTTCACGATTCATGTGAATAACTAATGAAAGACACACTAAAAGAAAAAAAAAAGATAAAACGAAGTATATCAACTTTGCATAAATAAAATACTTGACTCACCTGAAACAGTTATAACAAAAACAGTGAAATGGTTCTTACGATCTTCTTTCTCCAAAAGCGCACATGAAAGTGACACTTTTGAGACCGAAATTCACAATTTCGCGTTACTGTTTCAGGTTCGACCAATCAGATTAGTTAAACACCAAAGCCGCCTTAGTTACCCTGATATTTTGGGGTAAAAAGGGACGTGGAAAGATCTTTGCCTGGACAGAACAAAGAACCCTATTTGACCAGGTTACCTAGACCTACATGTATGGTGTTTACACAACAACTTGTTTATAGACTTAGTAAAAAAAGCATGTCTAATTGTGTCCATTTAGCTTAGCGCTAAACATCTTATATTGATAAAAATAATGTTTAACAAAGAGAAAATCTAAAGTGACAAATGCCAACATAAATATCTGCTAAAAAAGTACTTCTTATTCTCAATTTATCGGGAATATTAAAATATTCTTTTTTGCTGAAAACTTAATTTTCACAAAAATATTAAATGAGGTATAAAATGACTCTATGACAGTATGACAATGCTTAAATTTTTGGTAAAGGATTTAATCATGCAATAAAAAAATAAATAAATGACATGGGTATGACAATGCTAAAAATATTGTTAAAGGATTTAACATGCACTTAGAAATTTAATAAAAATGATAAATTATAATAAAAAGTATAGTAATATAATCATGATCATGATGGGTATGTTGCATTTATTTTATGTTTACTCGGTGCATGTGTGGTCTAATTGAGATCTGTACGTATATAAAAATAAGGAGATGCAGTATAATTGCCAATGAGACAACCATCCACCAAAGTTCAAATGAAGTGGGTGTAAGCAATTATAGGCAACCGTATACGTCCTTCAACAATGAGAAAACCCCCATACCGTATGTTCGGCTATAAAAGGCCCCGACATGAAAAATATGAAACAATTCAATTGAGAAAACTAACGGCCTAATTTATAACAAAACAATTTACGAAAAACAAATATGACGGACATGAACCAACGACAACCACTGAACTACAGGCTCCTGACTTGGAAAAGGCACATACAGAATGTGGCGGGGTTAAACATGTTTGTGAGCGCTCAACCCTAAGTTTACTCGGTGTATGTTTGTCTTGGCCTTGATGACAATCATATCATTCGAATTTACACCCAAAAAATGGTTCTTATTGTTATAGTAATGGTTGGTTAAAATATATAGGTTTCCCTCCTCTAATAAATAGTAATTTCATGTCGAAATAGTCTGAATCAATTTTTGAATAAGTTGTAAACATGACCATGCAATTAACTACTCTACACATGCTCAGTAGAGTTTGATTATCAATGAACTCTCAGCAATGGGCGTGGTTTGTATACATTTTCTGGTATAACTGAAACATTGCACGATTTAATCTGATTCCAATAAGTCTCCAGTTCTTTTGGTTTGACACCATGTGATGTAATGATATCATTCTTATAAGAACATGGATTGAAGTCTGGTTTCATATTGTTAAAACCATATAAATAGTTTGGTGTAACACGCATTTTTTTCAAGCACATTGCAATGTACACGTCCTCTAGATGAAAGAACGGAATATACTCAGACGTCTGTAAAATAGTCAGGACTAAGTCCATACTTATAATATATCCAGTTCCTGAACACATTGGAGGAAATTTGTCTTCTTTATATCCTTTAAACGACACATACCATTTAGAATTTCTATCTCTGTGTGGGGTGGAAGGACCCCAGCAATATCCACCTATGAATTTAGTTGGCGCTTTTTTTGTGAGAAAAGGGAGTAGATATGTATTTACATACATGTCAGTGTCTGTCTTCATAACGTACTTAGCTGACGCGCAATATCTCACGGCCCATGAAATACTGAACACAGTTTTATATGTTAAATTTCCATATGAGTCGATAAAGTCAATTTGCACAATATCTCTATATAATGTACTTTCTTCTTGCAAACCGGACTCCCTCGTAGAAACACGAGTTCCCTCCGAAGTTAGCCGATGATTTCCTATCACAAATAAGCACTTTATTGCCGTGTCGTTTCGGTTACATTCGTATCCCCATGATTTTCTTATGGCTTGTCTCTCATTAAACTGTTTTTGGGAACTTGATATTAGAATGATAATGTCTATATCATGCGATTTCTCACAGAGTTTGTCCTGATTAAGAATAATTTCAAATTCATGTCCAAAGCATTTCAACTTTGACCCTTTTAGTATGGATTGATTCACACCATTTGTGGCATTTTGATGGTCTGCATCAATTGTTCTTTTCTTATCAGTATTTCCTACAGTATAAGATTTCACAATATTGCGTTCAACAATTTTGTTTCTCCTGAATCTGTTGAACTTACCACTGTTTATAGTATATAGAGATAACGATGCCATTAAAACTAGGGTAATAAAAGCAAGCAAATAATATCCAACAGAAGATTTGGATCTGTTCATGTCCATTTCCGTCATTGTGTGACTGAGAACAGTACTAGTGTAAGAAGTATTTCTATTGTTAAAGTTTAAAATTAAATTTTAAAACAAATATGTATATATAACTTCACTTAAATACGTTTTCACTCATTTTCTATAACAATTGTGTCCTCTCTCTGAACCAAAATTTCTGTGAGTTGACTAGACTATTCATATGTCTAGTCAAGTCAAATTGAATGCTGTTAACATCACCTATCCAAATAAACCAGAAATGTCTTTGTAGGTTTCTCCATGTGATTAACTTTTGTAATGTAACAGGGTATCAGATACGAGAAATTAATTTCGGAACGTGTCTGTTGATGATCAGATCCCGGGGGACACATAGTCTGTTTATGATCACATAGTTTAGAGGCAATCCTGTTACATCTGTCTCTTGTGCTGCTGTTTGTTAAATTGATTATTTTGTAGTTAAGGTAGTTCCAGATACTACATGCATCGTTCATAGAACATGAAATCCATATGAGGAACCGACAACTATCTGCAATTATGAATTATAAATAAGTAAACAAATTATGATCACATATGCTCCACACTAATTGTTGGCATTAGTAGTTGTCAGTGTCATTTTTCAGATTTTAAACGCGGAGTCACGTGATTATTTTATACGTTTTGATTTAATTTTGTCTTTTAGTGTTGTTTTACTTGTAGTTTGCTTTTGTTGTCTGCAGTTCAAGTATTCCAATATAGAAACTTTTTAAAAGGGTTTCTTAAACGGGATAAAGTGAAGGGTGAAAACAAGACGTGGTTGTGACAATCGGTAAACCTCGACAAATTCCGTTACCTTTCATCGTAAAATCTTTCGAAGTGAGTCGAATGTATGTCATTCGTAGTACCGATAAAGTACTTTTCTAGACCATTCAATTTGCATGTGCATATCTATCCATCGGGATGGGCGTGGAGTATTAGAATCGCACTGAAATAGTTTCTCTTCTTTCTACTAATTTAATTAAGATATAAGGGGACGACCATTTGATTTCATATATGAGGATATTTTTATAGAGGAATACTCATTTGAATATACTCGTTGCTAGGCTGGCTGAGTTTTTTCTCGCGAAAATTTATTTCCAAATTTGTACAAAATTATTTCCTGCATTTTAATGTATAATATTCATTTAAATACTGTTTTTGGCAAACAACAAAAAAACAGCTATTACCAGGTCAAGATATTTATTTCCAAAATCCTCCTTCCACCCAGAAAATCAATTGGTAATTTCCTAATAGATTGAAGAAAATTTATAAGAATACAATAATAAAAGACTTACCCTTGTTTTATTAATTTTGTATTTACAATGTGTCATATATCAAATTTATTCGTTCAGTGTATGTTCACTTGTTTTTGTTAATATGTCTTTTGATTGAGTTAAGCCATTTCAATTGATATTTTATAGTGTGTCTTTCTCTGTTGTGATGTTACACTATTGTTTCAGGTAGGGTAAAGGTTGGCGTCTATTAAAACGTTTAAACCAGCTGCATTTGTTTGCACCTGTCCTAAAGTCAGGAACCTGGTGTTCAGTGGTTGTCGTTTGTTGATGTGGTTCATATGTGTTTCTCGTTGCTCGTTTTTTATATAGATTAGACCGTTGGTTTTCCTGTTTGAATGGTTTTACACTAGTCATTTTTGGAGCTCTTTATAGCTTGCTGTTCGGTGTGAGCCAAGGCTCCGTGTTGAAGGCCGTACTTTGACCTATAATGGTTTACTTTTACAAATTGTAACTTGGATGGAGAGTTGTCTCATTGACACTCATACTGCATCTTCTTATATCTATTATCAAAATCTTAGATGAAAAATTAAACATCCATTAGTTTTGATTTAGATAAAACAACATATCAGCTGAAAGTATATTAGTTTTATAATCATTAAGTTATTACGGGCCTATACATAGAAAATTTAAAGAAATTCATTTGACTTGTTATAGACTGGTTCCCGGTCTGTCAGATAAAATCAGTAAGTTTTCGGCCTTTGCAAACGTTTGTAACCCTATAACATTTGTATGCGCATGTCCAAGCCAGTAGCATGTGATCCAGTGTAAGAGTCTTGTTGTTGCTGTCTGTCACATTTTTTTCGTTTATTATTTTATTAATTAAACATAAATCTTTTGAGTTCAGTTACACATTGTGTTACCCTGATTCCTTTTACGGCGTACTTTAAGGGTATTGTTCATTGTTGAAGGCCGTTACATGCGTGACCAATAGTTATTTAAATCCTTGTTCTTTGGTTTTGAGGGGGGTGGGGGTGTATTTGCCTCATTAGTAATAATATCATAACTCCTTAGTATACAAGGTGTAAATCATTAACTTTTCTTGAATTTCAACATTTAACTATCATTCCGTCTGCTTTTATATTCTATTGTTATTTTCAGATGGTTAAACAAAATTTTGTTTATTTAAGGAGAGAAACATTAATTTATATTATGTATTATGAATCAAATCAGATAAAATATGAAAAAAAACGACAAAATATTTTTCTACGAACTTGTTAGGTTTTTTTCATTTTTTATTTACTGTGAAGTCGTAAATTTGAACACAGAAACATTAATTATGTTTAATTTGCCATTAAAGTTTTGGACTTCACTTCTAAGTATCAAACCCCTAATTTTCACTGGGGTATAGAAATATGGTCAACCCAGCCTGAAGCTGTCCGACAGTAAAACCCTTGATAAAGTGGGGAGTCCGTTATGCTGTGCGGGATATACAAATACGCAGCCACGTCCGGTTGGAAAAGGAACATTAAATCTGATGCTTTGTGAAGGGTGACTGTAATACACGTTAAAGAACTGTTGCTACAACTATTTGAGGGTTCCGTAAGTTCCTATCCATCACGACCCATTTACCACTGGCAGTACTAATTTCTAGCCCTTCACCCTAGTCGGACTACCTTGCACAACCTACATATTCCATTGATTGTTATTTGTTCTCGTCATGAATATGCATGAATATGCATGAAATATTTGAAACCGGGCGATAAACAAACTATAATCAATCAAGTTTTAGTAAGTAAGTAAGTAAGTAAGTAATCTTTATTTAAAGTATGGTTTTCATATAAACATACAGATAACGTAGAAACGGGAGCTCTCAAGTCGGCTTAAAGGAGTCAATAAACTAACATACGATCCGTGTAAACTTATCCCCAGGTGTCTTTCTGTATATCGGGGGAAAATGATCGTGAATGTATCAGTAATGATAGTCAAGTGTTGCGATAGAATCGTGAAACTTCTGGTATGGGATCACGAAGGAAATCTTCTCGAGAAGACACATGCAAGGTCAAAAGATGATCTAGTTTTGAATTATAAGGACAAATTTTGAAAAATAAAACTGTCTGTCAAAATGGTTCACTATTACGATCAATATCTTAGAAAATCAGAGTATAAAATTGCATCGTTTTTACAAAACTTTAAAAGGCAAAACCTTAAACATTTTCATTTTCTTTTCTCAACACATAAAAACCTTTTATTCCTAAATATTTCCTTATACAATTATCTTAGTCGTCCATGTAACAAGCTAAGGGTTCCTGTTTACAAAACGAACCATCTATTTAGGGGTAATACAAGGCTAAAAATGTAGTCCCCTTTTTACCTAGGAATTACAATTGGTTTCAAAAATATATCCACATGATGTTAGAAGCATCCATTTTCAATTTTATTAAAAAAATATATAGTCTTAGGGAGCTACCACTTGATTTTTGTGGGGGGGGGGGGGGACTAGGATGAAAATTTTGTCCTGCTATTTTATTTTTCCCTCTTTTCGGTCCTGCCTTTTTATTTTTCACTCTATTCGGTCCTGCCTTTTTTTTTTAGTTTATCCTGACTTTTTTTTTACATAAATTGTCATCCTGCTTTTTTTTTTGCAAATAATCTCATCCTGCCTTTTTTTTTACTCAAAACTCCTGTCCTGCCTATTTTTTTTCAAATTTCATCCTAGCCCCCCCCCCCCCCCATAAAATCAAATGTAGCTCCCTTATACAATAAACTATATAATAAAATAACTTCGTTTAAAGTTGATATAAATTGTTTGTCTAAATTAATCTTCATTATCATTGATTTAATTTTTGCCATATCGATAATGTCAACTTTTATTTGTGTTTTAGCTTATATTTTCAGATATTATAAATATATTGTGGTGCTATAGGCGTCGTGTAGTATTTTATCATAATTTACCATAGAGTCTATTTAGAATATGTAATAATTGTGTCTAGAAAAATGTTATATTTGAATATTCCTCTGTTTATTCCTAACATCATGTCCTTTTCAACAAAAGGATTATTTATTCCTATGTTTGATTGGATAAGTATTTCTTGAAGCTTGTTTAAAATTAACTTTGATGTTCAACGACTAAAAACAAGTGTTGCAGGGTTTCTATGTTGTTGTCATTTTGACAAATATTGCAGTTTCCATTTGAAAGCGTCAATTTTTGTAATATACCTTCAGTATATAAAATATTGTGCATGGATCTCCAATGATTTGTTTTTTTTTACTTTATTTTGAATGCTCATGTTTTTTAATCCTGACCACAAATTTCCAAATAAAAATTGTTTCCAAATATATTTGAGTTTTAGCTTTGATGGTTTTATTATTGATTAAGTTCATAATCTTAAGGTCATTTCATATGTTTAATTTCATTTCATTATGCAAATTCTGATTCAAAATTTGCACGAAATCGTTAGGAATTGCCTATTTAATTCTGGAAAAATAGGAAATACAATTTCTCCGATCAATAAGCTTCCTAAACATTTCATTACCGCTAACAAAATCAGTAGTTTCTGATTTCTAAATGTCCTTGGTAGTTTTGATATCGCTTTTTAAAAGTGAAGGATATACCAATGAGAATGGAAACGGGGAATGTGTCAAAGAGACAACAACCCGACCAAAGAGCAGAAAACAGCCCAAGGCCACCAATGGGTCTCCAACACATCGAGAAAATCCCGCACCCGGAGGCGGGCTTCAGCTGGCCCCTTAAAAAATGTATACTAGTTCAGCGAAAATGGACGTCACACTCAACTCCAAAACATATAGATTAACCAAAATTAAAAAAAAAAATCATAAAAGACTAACAAAGGCCAGATGTTCCTGACTTGGGACAGGCGCAAAAATGCAGCTGTGTTAAACTTGTTTTGTGAGATCTCAACTAATGGTTTGTTTTTTAATAAAAGATTCTCGTAAAAATACATCTATTTTATTGAATGGTATAACAGTATGTTGTATGAAACCGGATCAAGTATTGATAGTTTCCTGATTAAATTGTGGTAATTGGCAGCAGGCATTTCTGTCTACCTGGTTAACTTTTCAGTCCCATATAGAATTCCAAATTATATTATTTAGCTCTTTAGTATATCTTCCCGTATCTCCTCGTATTTCAATATCGTTAGAACAGAGAGAAAGTATCATATTTTTAAATATAAGTATTTTACCTGTAAATATAAGCTTCCTACTTTCCTATACGTACATGCACTACAAAAGTCTAAAAGTCTGAAAAGACCAGTTT